CCTTGGAAGACGCCGATCCGTATGGGTCGGTCCTTGGCTTTCCTTACAGTACGAGATTCACTGTTTTGGAGCACCAATCACATGAAATGAAGATGGGACACGACTCCCACCCGAAGAGGTAGTGGTGCGGGCAATTCCTGCTGCTAGCCGCGCTGGCGATGATTGATTCATTGCTGCCCTGGAACGGGCTCAAGCTAGAAGCGATTGTTTGGGTAGCAACTGGACTACGGAGCAGTTGGCGCGGCGATACGTCAGACATTTGAAGCAATCCACATGGTGGGGGGAAGAGAAGCCAAGGCATGGAAATTGTTCGTCAGCATGAATTCTTATTTCCCACATCGATGATGTACGATGGATGGATAAAAAGCCCATCGAATTTTGGCAGCATTTAGCATAAACATGACTTTCACCCCCGCATGTGCATCGCTCGATACTGAATGGGCAAACTATTTGCTTGGGATTCAATTAGCCTGGCACCATTCGAGCTGAGGTCCCAGCAAGTACACGACTTGGAGATCATAATCAGTTAATAAATATACATAGCGTGTGGTCTGCCAAGCAGGTCATGGCCTGCCTCTTCTGCCCTGTTTTGCCTCCCGCGATCCCGAGCCATCCAGGCTTGTTGAGACGTCGGCGTATCCGCCAGGAGTAATGGTGCGCATTCCAAGGCCCAGGAACATGTGTGCAGCAAGTAAACAAGAAGGAAACCAAAGTATCGTCCGCGCCATCGCGTTGTTTCACACAGGCAAGGGGGTGGGCACACAGCTAACGCCACGCCATCCAGAAGGCCTACAAAGTGACTGGTCGCGATACTGTGCCAGCTGCATCCAGCAGACTTGAGACAAAATAAATCTGCAGAAATCCAGTCATGTCTGTGTTTATACTTGTTGCTAGAACACGCTGGCACCACTGATGCATGCAAGCAATCGTGAGATCGGATTCGGCAAATTGGCCCTTCCCTCTGACCTCCATAACACCGTATCTGGTAGATTACGGACAGGCAGGCTCTTTCTAGCCAAGGAATGGCATTGGCAGGTCATTATTTCTCGATGGAGGACATCTCCCATGCACAACACCACTACGCACAACCTACCTACCTATATAGTTGGCGACACTGGGCTTCAATGAGCACATCGAGGCACCTGCTAGCTCGTGCTAGACGGGAAAGGGGGCGTACTGTGTGAGCATTCGTCTTAGATTCGTTACATATCATGATGGCTTGCTCCAAGGGGCCCCTTGCGGAGGGCACCTAACGGATGAGGAAAAGCGGCCACAACCTCTATCGGACGACCGAAGATGGGGCCAAATCTCGCCAAACGGCACGTGCATGATTATGGGCTTGATGCATGTAGTATTCATTTTGACGAGCGAGATTCCCGGAAGCTGTCAATCTCTGTAGTCCAGCATCACGAGAAAGCAATTTTCGATCGATGCTGTCGCTAATTCTCAGAAGCACGGTTACCGGCTCGTCGAGTCAGGCACTGGCGTTGGGTAGTCCAAACCTTGTGCCTGGCCATTGTTATCGTCGTCGTTATCATACGGGGCAGCTACCGTGCTGCAAATACTGTGTGGTCCTTGTCGTCGTTGCAACGGACATGCACACCCAAGATTACTTGGCTTCCATCTAGATGATGTGGTAGGTAGTAATTAGCGGTGCCTGTCCCATGGATGCCGCGGAGCTCTCTTGGTCGGTGCGAATGAAGCTGGCGAACAATGGCAAGCTCAGCTACCGAGTAATGCGGACGGTTGCTCCCAAAGGCCCTAAAAGGCTGCTTTGACAGCGGCAACAAGGTTGGGATGGCGCCCGCCACCATCTTGGGCTCTGCAGCCTGCCGCGATGGACCGTTGCTGATTCGCACACATCAACAACACTCGTCGTATCCTGGTGCATGCCGCGGGTGTGAGCGCAGAAAAACTCGTACACAGGTACGTACCCAGCCGTGCACATCGCCATCATCGACCAGGAATCAGCGCTGAGGACGGGCCTAATACATGCTGGCCCCCTGGTCAACCCCTGTCGACGCCCCCTAGTTGGCCACCGGTGGGCGGGTCCGGGTTAGAGGTAGGAGCTGGTCCTCCACTCTCAATCACGTCCGGAGAGCTTGTTTGTTCTCCCAGTCGTGTCGCTCCATTGCTCCTGAGGACTTTTTCTACCCTCCAACCTTCGTAATCGTCCACCGGTTCGTCCTTTCACTCACTCCCTTTTCCCCTTCGCGCCGCTCGTTATAGGCTTAGAAGAGTCCATCTTCTTCCACCTCTCATCCTTCGTTTTCATATAATTTGAGGCTTCTCGCCCACAACCACGCTCGCGTCTCCCTAATTCCCGCTCCTTCACCCCAGAAGCCGCCTTCCCCCTTAGCCCGACGGTTCGAGTCGAAAAATACACAACGAAGGTGCGTTCATGCTGGATCTGCTTGCAGTCACGATAGCTTCGCAATTCCTATTCCGTGTAGTGCGTAGCTGTTTCCGTCCACGACAGCTTGCTCAGCACACCACTGCCCGTACATTCCATTCCACCTACCCTGCCAACGTCCCTGCCACCTGCTCCGACCATCTCGAACTGCGTCAGGAGCATCATTCTGTTTGGTGGCGCATGCTGCCTGCTGGATGGCTCTGGCTCGACTTGGAACGACGCAGAGCCCACATGCTTCTCCCCTTTCATCAGAACTTGCCAATGCATTCAAGCACCATCATCATCAACATCAACATCAGCATCAACATAATCACTGCCAATCAACAGATTCCAGCCGGTTGGATGGCTGCATAGCATTACCATTTCTCACTGGACATATCAGTGTCTCTTCACTTCCGTCTCGTCCCCAATTCGCTAAATCACACGCTTGACCCATCGCTCCAAATCACCCGTTCCACCAAGGTCATTGTACAACAACTTGGGCCGCGCTTCAACTTCTGTGTTCATTTTCCCACTAACACGCCTTAATTAGACTACAATGCGTTCCACCACGATTCTGGGTCTCGCCGGCTTGGCCAGCCTCGCTGCTGGTACGTAGAATCTCAACATCTTTGTTTGTGACAACAGGACTGACTCTTCGAACAGCCGCCGATTGCGACAAGGATTGGAAGATCACCTCCGCCGATGCTACCCTCGCCTGCGACACCCTCACTGGTAGCATTACTGTCGATTCTTCGCTCTCTGGCAGTCTCAACATCAGCGGCCCTAAGAAGATCACTGGTGACTTGACGATCAAGAATGCTACCAACCTGATCTCAATCACCAGCACGTCTATCGCCACAATTGGAGGCGCCTTCACCCTCGAGGATCTCAACCAGGTTCAGTCCATCAAATTCAGCTCTCTGGACTCCATCAACGAGGTGTCAATTGTCAAGGCACCTGCACTTCGGTCCCTTGTTTTCGGTAGCGATGGTGTCACAAAGGCCAGCACCGTCCGTATCACTAACACTAATCTGGACAACCTGAGCAGCTTTAAGCTCTCTACCGTCGACAGCCTCACCATCAACGACAACCCTCAGATGGCTCAGTACGACTCTGCCCTCAGCAACATCACCACCGAGCTCGTCATCCGAGACAACGGTGAGAACATGGAGATCTCCATGACCAACCTCACCAAGGCCGGTGAGATTCAGATTGGTAGTGCCAAGAGTCTGAAGGTCCCCGCTCTCAAGTCCGCCAACTCTGTCAAGTTCGAGGCCAATGACCAGCTGGAGTCTTTCTCCGCCCCCAACCTGACTGAGGTCAAGAACGCCGTTTCCTTCACCAACAACCCCAAGCTCACCAACGTCTCTTTCCCTGTCCTGACCAAGATCACCGGAGATCTTAAGATTGTGAACAACACCGAGATCAAGATTCTCGATGGATTCCCCGTCCTCGCATCTGTTGAGACCATGTACCTGGGTGGCAGCTTCGAAGAGTAAGTCATGAAACAATCACGCCGTGCAGTAGACCCTTAACCTGACCCGAATATAGGATCGATATGCCCAAGCTTAGCTCCGTCAACGGCCTTGCCAATGCCAGCTCAACCACCGATATCCAGGAATTCTGCAAGTTCTTCGACTCGCTGAAGTCCGCCAACAAGATCAAGGGTAGCGGCAGCAAGTGCACCAGCAACTACCAGGACGCCAACGGTAAAAGCAACAACACCTCTTCTGGTAACAACACAAGCAGCAACAACGACAGCGCCGCCGGATTCGTCGGTGTCAACGTCGCCGTTCTTGGTCTGGCTCTCGTCGCCGGTGTTGCCCACCTGCTGTAAATTTGGTAGATAGGAGTTGTTGCGAGGCAGACAAAATCTTGTGACGGATAGGAAATGGCGTTCCTTCACCTTCTCTGTATGTTTCAGGCCTCATTTGGTCAAGATGTAGTGAATTTTGCTTGCATTGCGCGTTGAAGGTCCCAGCCGAACTTGGCTTTCTTTCCTTGTTTCTTCTTTTTTGCTTATGGGGAAATACGCACCAGAACTTAATGGATTGTGATTCGAGTAGAGCTTTCAATGAAACCACCACTTTCAATATCATTTTCCTTCTGCGATGACCCTGAGGCAAGGACGTAGAGACAAATCCAACTTCAGTCGGGCCTATCTAAAGCACTTGCTCCTGAGTGTCGCACGGCCCTTGAATCTACACAACAAACAACATTCCTGTCACAACCAAGCCAAGAAAAAACCTATAACTTACGTGGGGCTTACATTTAATATCACTTCGCCTATAACACATCGCTAGCCTAATCATTGATAAATACCTTGTTCAAACTTCTCCACATCAAAGAATTTTGGTTTGATCGTATTGCCATTAAACACTCGGCCGTCCAGAGCATCGACAGCCTTTGAACATATATGATCATCGTTAGATAACCGTGGTATTTTCCATCAGGATGAAGATTATTATTAGGCCACTTACACGAAGCGCTGAGACTTGATTCGTAAATTTGATAAAAACCTGCCGGCCGGATTGGTCGATATATAGCCTCTCAACTCGCCCATACTGCTTTCACGGTCAATAACAACTCCAAAGTCGAGGCCAGCATGGCCCCGGGGGGAAATGTAAGCTCACCTTCTCTCCGCACTCCTCCCCAATCTCCTGGGCCAGCCCGTCGGCGATTTCCGCTTGGAGATCTGTTATGTTCTCCAGCATGTCCTGCAGCACGATGACCTCGCTCATGGCGCCGAACTTGCTCGACTCCTCCTTCCTCTTGCCGCCGATGATCTTGCCCTTGCCGCCTGGCTCGGCCCAGCCACCGCCGTCCGCGTCTGCCTTCTTGCGCCGCTTCTCGACCTGGACCTGCAGCGGGTTCACGATGCCGGACTCGTCGGCGCCGAGGCCGGTTCCTCGCGTCCAGCCGTACTTTGACATCAGTCGGTGGGCGAAGCCGGCTTGGCCAGGGCGGCTGGAGCGCGGGCCGTCGTCCTGGGGTTCGTTGGAGCTTCCTAGGCCTAGGCCTGGGCGATCATCCATTTCTTCGTCTTCGTCTTCATCTTCTTGGTTCTGGGTGTTCTGAGCGTATCGAATGGGAGCACGAGATATCGTTGCCGAGTCCTCTGCTGGGGGCGGAGGAGGGGGATAGTCGTCCCGTGGTGGCGCCGGTGGTGGAGGAACAGCATTTTGAGCTTGTGATGTTATGGTAGGGCGTGAAGAAGTCTCTTCTCCTGTCTTTTCATCGGAGAGGGCTCTAGGTGGAGATGGGGGAGGCGGCGCGAAAGCGTTGAATGATGGGGGAGCATATCGGTCTAAGGTCAGATATGTTAGCAAAGATGCGAGGATCTGCTGGAGATCAAGAATTTAGAAACGTACTTTGAGGCATAGATCCGGTGTCCTCGCCATCTGATGAGTCGCTATCCACGGGCTTCCTCCTGTGGCGGTAAAGGAGAGCTTTCCAGTCTCTAACCTCGTCTATCTTCTCATCGCTACGCATGTACTCATCGATATTTGTGGGCTTGGATGGATCGTACAGCTCCTCCCAGTCTGTTTGAACCTGGTACTCTTGTTTCCTCTTCTTCTTCTTTCGGCCTCCGCGCTGCCGCTTCTCTCCCGTGCCGTATAGCCATTCGTCATCCTCGGTGGCCGCCCAGTCTGCAAGCTTGCTCTTCGGGACGGCTGCCCCTGCGACAGCTTGTGGTTCCGTCACCGCAGGCTCTCCGGCGGGTCTCGAGCTAACTTTGGGGAATGATTGCTTGGGCTTGTTTGCTTGCTTCGCTTGCGGGCGGCGGATGGGCTGAAACCGGAGCGACGGGTCGACGAGCGGCTTAGATGTTGGCTCGCTCCCGGGCTGTTTGCTCTGGCTGTAGACTACTGGGGCGGAGGATATCGTGGCGGAGGATGGAGGAGGGTCTTTCGGGTCGAGGAGATTGGCATATAGCGAGAGACCACCGCCTCGAGGCGGTGGTTGTGCCATGATATGCTATTGGATCAGAGCACTCTTGAGGCGGGCACAGGTGTCGCGAGTGTTCGCGCGGTTCGCGCTGGCCACAAGGAGACGACGCGAGGGAAGTCCGGTGCCTAACCTAAGTCGCCAGGCCGTAGCGCAGTCTGCGCCTTCGTATTATCAATCGATTCTCAAGCTTCGGTCCGTCTTATTCCAGAGATTGGCTAGTCTTGGGAGGCAGCTTGGAGCATAAATGAGTGTGACGAGGCGGATAATGAGCTTTCGATTGCCAATCACTTGATATTAGTTGAGTCTGTCGTGTGTCTTGGGTGTGTCGACTTTCTTGAGCTTGGAATGATATCATGAATTAATTTATACACGCGATGATTCAATTAGCTCCTAGGAAGCCTTGGTGTTGATGGTGTTGCTGAGAATAGGTTTAACGAATTGATTAATTAGCACTTTACCCATCTAGGTATGGGCGGATGTTCATGCATTAAGCTCTTACAGCCAAGTGTATCTGTACTTGGCTTCTTAAGGGAGCTCTGTCTACAGGCTCCCAGGCAAGGCAGCACTAAGCAACGTCTTTCTTATCAAAAAAGGTCGTTCGAAACACCTCAGGCATCAATTTCAACATAGAACCTCTGCCTAAAGTGATTGAGTGGTGCCTGCTAGTGGCCATCAGACCTGGCAGGTGCTGACGGCCGTCGCACCTGACGCTGTAGTTTGGTTGAGCCAGCTCTAGGGTGGGTGGCCTGCCGCGCTTTTGAAGCTATTTGGCTTGTTTGTGTACATGTGCCCCTCCATGCCACCCCGCCAAAAAATCTCGCTTGTCCCTGGAAACCTTGCAGCAGCTCCAACGTCACCTGTTGGAACTCCATCATCCACAACCTTTCCCGGGGCATTTTGAAGGTTTCAGAAATCTCCAAACCTGCGCCGCGGCTCTTTCCCCCGATTTTAATCCTGCAGCCACCGGTCACCGGATTTTTCACTGCGCCTTCCGGTGCGCGTCTCAATTTCCGTTGCTGGTCAGTCAACACTTCCACTAAATTCGACCGACCGCCTCGATACTACGAGAAAAATGGCCGACCTTGCAAGCCGGATCACGAAGCCAGCGGACGATGCTGCGCCTGCATCCGAGACACCCGCAGTAACCGTTACCGCTGCTGCTGAAACCCCCGTTGGCGATGCTCAGAATGACGGCGCTGTCGAGAGCCTTGGCGGCTCAGGACTCCAGGAGCCTGGTTACGAAGTTGAGATCACTCTGAGCGACCTTCAGCAAAACGAAGCCACCCCGTTCCACTCCGCCACGACTTGGGAAGATATTGGCCTGTACGTGACTGAATGACTTCATCGATGATTGAATTTATCTAACGTAAAAATGTCCTGTTATAGGCGCGAAGAGCTTCACAAGGGCCTCTTGGCACTGAACTTCCTGAAGCCTTCCAAGGTCCAAGGCAAATCGCTCCCTCTCATGCTGAGCGACCCACCTACAAACATGTTGGCACAGTCGCAATCTGGAACTGGAAAGACGGCTGCTTTCGTCACCGCGATATTGTCGCGTGTTGACTTCAGCAACCCCGATCAACCCCAGGCTTTGGCTCTGGCACCCAGCCGTGAGCTTGCTCGCCAGATTGAAGAGGTTATCCGAGCCATCGGACATTTCATCCAGAACTTGAAGATTGCACCCGCTGTTCCTGGTGCTCTTCCTCGCGGCGAACCGGTTCGTTCTGCTGTTGTCGTAGGCACACCGGGAACTGTCATGGACATCATTCGCCGAAGGCAACTGGATGTCTCACAGTTGAAGGTCCTTGTTCTTGATGAAGCAGATAACATGCTGGACCAGCAAGGTCTCGGCGACCAATGCATGAGGGTCAAGGGGTATGTTCTCACTTTGCATGGTTACAATCCATTGCACGCGCTAACACGGAAACAAGCATGCTGCCCAAAACCATCCAGACTCTTCTGTTCTCCGCTACATTCCCTGAGAAGGTTCTTCAATACGCGAACAAGTTCGCGCCTAACGCACATTCGCTTAAGCTTCAGCGTAGCGATCTCACAGTCAAGGGTATTTCCCAGATGTTTATCGATTGCCCCAACGACAGCACAAAATATGACATTCTCTGCCGCCTGTATGGCCTCATGACCATTGGACAGTCCGTCATCTTTGTCAAGGTATTTACTCGAAACGGTCCCTACGTTAGCAAATAGTTGTGCTGATTTCCGATGATTTAGACTCGAGAGAGCGCCAATGAGATTCAGCGACGAATGGTTGCAGACGGACACAAGGTCTCAGCTCTGCACGCCGCCTTTGATGGAAGTGAACGAGACGACCTTCTTTCCAAATTCCGCAGCGGTGAGAGCAAAGTTCTGATCGCTACCAATGTTATCGCTCGAGGTATCGACGTGTCCAGCGTGTCCATGGTCATCAACTACGACATCCCCATGAAGGGACGAGGAGATACCGAGCCTGATACCGAGACATACCTTCACCGAATTGGACGAACTGGTCGTTTTGGCCGAGTCGGAGTTAGTATCAGCTTTGTGTACGACAAGAAGAGCTATGATGCTCTCAGCTCCATTGCCAACCATTATGGCATTGACCTCGTGAAGCTCGACACTGACGACTGGGATGACGCCGAGGAACGTGTCAAGGAGGTGATCAAGAAGAACCGAGCTCAAGCCGCGTATGCACCCAGCGCAACCGACCCCCAGAAAACAGGAGCTGCTTAGGGATGGCCTAATGGAGGATGGGGTTCCATGGACTGGGGATATCCTATTATATCCTAATCACGATGTGGTAGCGAGTGTAGGACTGAGTGGAGTCCTGCGAGAAGGTGTGAATGCGGTAGAGAAAGAAACGCCTAAGGGTGGCTAGCTGAATTTGACCAAAAAATGTTTTGGCACACGTTCGTGATACTTAGCTTAGAACGATGACACAAGATACCAATGAAACCTGGAATGAAACTACGATGCTGATCTCTAATACAATACAACCAACGAAGCCTGTGTATCCTTTGGCGATGCTACCCAACCTCGATATCTTGTGGTTTTTGAAGATCTAAAATATGGAAAGGATCCGCCAGTCACGTCTGTCCAGACAATGTGAGGCGGCTCTGTCTGTCTGGCGTAGTGAGACTCGCTGCCCGAACGAGCGGATTCGTGGCACGTGGGAGCTGTCTTCCAAGCTTTTGAACCTTTACCGATGTGATATCTCATTGATCAGCCTCAAGGGGCCCAGGCGCAAATCTCATGCCAGGGTGGAGCGAGATGCGGTGGGCGACAAGCCAGACATTGGGCATCGCTCTATATTATTATGTACTGCTACGAGTTGTACAGGGAACTGCGCTCTCGCTTGCGAATGATTCGGGTCTGTTCGCGCATGAATGCCGTCTCACCTGTCTCCAACCCGAACTCCACAAAACTGCTGTCTTGATCATCATTGACCTACCTACCTCGGATACTCTGCATGCAAGTCGTGGATGCTGCCTAAAGAAGAACTACTGCGAAGCGCCGCTGCAATGCACTGTGCTGTGGTGTGCAGCGCAGTGCATTGCAGTAAGACCAAGACTTTGGGCAATGACTTATAGAGTTTGGGATTGCCTAAGAGAGTAACCCATCATAAACCCGTGCCGGCATCGTTCACACCCTCATTTTTTTAGCTGCCCACGGAAGGACTAAGAAAAGTGAGGCAATCCGGGAGGGACGAACCGGACGTGCATGGATCGGCTAGAAAAGGCGGGAGGACTCGAGCCACGTCACATGCTTGGGGAGAAAGAACGATATCGCTCAGTCCTTCGCGACTGCTACCCTCGACTCGCCCTGCCCCGGGTGCTGCCCCAGCTTTGCGTTTTCCTTTCTTTTTTCCCTTCGGGAATGGCTGCTGCGGGGAGCTGGGCTGGTATCCAATTGCCTGGCGAAGACTGAAGATGGCACTTAGATTTCGGTAGGGAGCTTTGGCCACTAGAAGCTGCCCAAGCCTACAGGGGAGCCATCCACTGCAAATAGAAGTCAGGTAGAATTGGTGGGCGAGATAAGGGGTCTCCTGGGAGGTACCTACCGCGCTCGGCAAGTGCGTACGAATCCCAGGTACCGGCCCAGTAGGAATCAATCGATTTTTTCTTTGGCGACTTGCCAACACATCGACCAGCCCAGCCCCTCCATTAACCATGACGGTGCCCGCCGGCTACTGAAGATCCCGCCCCGGGCTTGTAAACGAACCAGTGCGGTTGGACTGTCGCGCTGCAGCCAGTTATGCCAATTGTTCCGATCAGGGATGTTGGGCCGCGATCTGGGCACCGGCCGGAGCGTGACCAGAACGGCCTCCCCCTTCTCCCGACATGCTGCACCTCAAGCCCAACACTCAGGCAACGTGGCGCCAGTTGTGCCTGCATGGAGCCAACCGAGCCCAAGGCGCTACCGTCTATCGTCAGCGGGGAGCAATATTTCCCAACCTGCCCACGCCTGCTTGGGCCACCGGCGTGTGGGGAGGGGGGAGTGGGTTCTGCGCAATGGGCTGCTCGTCATAGGTGGTTGGTATTAATTATCGTCTTTTTTTATTCTCTGGCGGACAAGTCTCTCACCCAGGCCTATGTCGCTGTCGACAAACCCCTCAGTGGGATGATTCTTGGCCTGTTTCGGAATGTGCTGGCCGTGTAGATGGTGTTGTGTTGTGCTTCTATGTAATGGGCATGCCAGGCCTCATTTTCCTGGCGATCGACTTGGTGGCTTTTGGCACACGTTAATAACGAGCAGCCCATTTATATTAATTCTGTCACCATCTTTGCCGGATGCCATAGTCCCTGTCTAGCATTTTGCCTTACCGCGCTTTTGTCTTGTCTTGGCCGTGGCCATCCTCGTTCTACGGTCTTGCCGCCTTTTTGCCCCCATTCGCAGCCTATTGATTCATCCATTGCCAAATTCGTGAAGTCCACCGCAAGTCTGCAGAACAGGCCCCAGTCCATACATATCATCTGTTTCATTCGATCTGCTCCCTTTTATTTTCCTTGTTGATCGTTTTTTGTTCCTTCTTCTTCTGTTATCGGCCTTCCATCCATCTGACTAACTCCTTCGCCTCACTCTTTCCCAACCCTCTTCCCTGCCACCCTACTGCGGCTACCCGAATCGAATGCCCAACCCTCTGTGGAGCTTACATGGAAGTTGGAGTCCAAGCTCTCGCACTTCGAGATATTAGTGCTCTTGGGCCGTTAGCGGCTGCGAAAGCATGTCTCATGTTAAATTCACTCCGGCCTACTCCTACTACGACGTGCAATACTCTGATTTCTCCCACATCAACTACACACAGCCTGACCTCTCCGAAGATGAATTAGGATCAGGCGAGGAAGGTGAGACCAAAAGCGCACCCTGTGAATTTGAAGTCGCATACCCCGGCTTCTCGACTTTGCTCTTTGGGGAACTAAAAAAAAATTCCAAATAGGACAGGATCGGCCACCTGATGATTACAGGCCCAGGGAGCAGCAGCTGCCGTTTTCTTATAGCCCTCACCAGCCCAGGGAGGAGAAGCACAGGAAGGAGAAGAAGGACAAGGACAAGGACAAGAAGAAGGACAAGTCGTCGTCGAAGAGGCACCACCACATGAGTGACGCGGCTGGGGTGCCAGAGGCGCCCGACGCCCCTGCTGATAGTGGTGCCGCGGTGCCTCCCGGGCGAGCTGCTGCTGAGAAGGACTCGTGGACCCTGCCAACCAGCAAATCGGGCAAGAAGAAGAAGAAGAATAAGTCGTCAAAGGACAAGGACGCCGCGAAGGCGCCTGAGCCCGCGGAGCCTGAAAAGCCCCCAGCCCCGGATGCTCCAGCTGAGTCTCAAGAGGAATCAAAAGACGAAGCAAATGATGAGTCAAAGGAGGAACGGGAGGAGGAGGTAAAAGAGGAGGAGCCCAAGGAAGAGCTGAAAGAGGAACCCAAGGAAGAGCTGAAAGAGGAGCCTGCAGAAAAGCCAATTGAGGAGGTAAAAGAGGAAGTCAAGGAGAAACCACCTCCCGAAGAGCCTATTTCCCCCAAGAAAAGCAGAAAGGAAAAGAAGAAAGAGAAGAAGAAGGACAAGAAAGCCACCAAAAAGGCGGAGAAGTCATCATCGAAGGAGAAGGGCCACTCACCGAAGGACGAAGCGCCAAAGGAGGCTGAGAAGAAGCCTGTCGACGACACCCCCGCCGCCGCTGCCACCAATGGGGAAGCGGACCAGGAATCTCCCGTACCAGACGACAAAGCTGACGATTCCGCCGAGGCGCCGGCGGCATCCGAATCAGCTGCTGCGCCCGAAATAGAGGAGGATGCCGCGAAGTCTGCTGAAGAGTCAAAACCAGCCGATGGGCCAGCCGCTGCCGAGGAATCTAAGCCAGCTGAGGAGGAATCTAAGCCAGCTGAGGAGGGATCTAAGCCAGCTGAGGAGGAATCTAAGCCAGCTGAGGAGGAATCTAAGCCAGCTGAGGAGGAACCTAGCATGCCTGACGAAGCCCCGGCAGCAGGAGAAGAGAAGGCTGTTGAGGAGAAGGCTGTTGAGGAGAAGGCTGTTGAGGAGAAGGCTGTTGAGGAGAAGGCTGCTGAGGAGAAGGCTGTTGAGGAGGGCGACCACGCAAGTGAGGATGCCAAGCCAGTCGAAGAAGCCAAGGCTGGTGAAGAAGAATCAAAGGCAGCTGAAGAAGTTAATCCAGGCGATGAAACCCCGGCAACCGAAGAAACGAAGACTGTGGAAGGAGCTCCGGCAGCAGATGAAGAACCTGCTGTACCCGAAGAAACCAAAGCCAGCGAAGGAGAGTCGAAGGGAGCTGAAGAAGCACCCTCCACCGAAGCAGCCCCAACCGCCGAAGAGTCAAAAGAAGCTGAAGAAACGAAGGCGGCGGAAGCTCCAGCAGCCGAGGAAACACCAGCAGCCGAGGAAACACCAGCAGCCGAAGAATCGCAAGAAACGAAGCCTGCGGAAGCTCCAGCAGCAGACGACGAAGCTGCTGTATCCGAAGAAACTAAGGCCAATAAAGAAGAGTCTAAGGGCGCTGATGAAACGCCCTCCACTGAAGCAGCTCCGGCAGTTGAGGAAACACCAGCAGCTGAAGAATCCAAGCCTGTGGAAGCCCCAGCAGCAGATGAAGAAGTCGCTGTATCCGGAGAAACCAAGGCTAGTGAAGAAGAGTCCAAGGGAGCTGATAATGCCCCCTCCACCGAAGAAACTCCGGCAGTTGAGGAAAAATCAGCAACTGAAGAATCAAAAGGAGCTGAAGAAACAAGGACTGCGGAAGCTCCGGCAGCTGAGGAAGCTGCTGTACCCGAAGATGAAAAGGTAGGCGATGAAGAGTCTAAGGGGACTGAAGAAGCACCCTCTAGCGAAGAAGCGTCTACAGTCGAAGATTCGAAAGCGGCCGAAGAAGCTGCTGTATCCGAAGAAACCAAGGCCAGTGAAGAAGAGTCCAAGGGAGCTGACCAAGCGCCCTCCACCCCCTCCACCGAAGAAGCTCCAGCAACCGAGGAAGCTGCTGTACCCGAAGATGAAAAGGTAGGCGATGAAGAGTCTAAGGGGACTGAGGAAGCACCATCTAGCGAAGAAGCACCATCTAGCGAAGAAGCACCTACAGTCGAAGATTCGAACGTAGCTGAGAAAGCTGCTGCATCCGAAGATAAAAAGGCTGGTGAAGAAGAGTCTAAGGGGACTGAAGATGCACTTTCCAGCGAAGAAGCACCATCCGGCGAAGAAGCTCCCGCAGTCGAAGATTCGAAAGTAGCTGAAGAAGTTGCTGCATCTGAAGAGACTAATGGGACTAAAGAAACACCCTCCTCCGAAGAAACACCCTCCTCCGAAGAAACACCCGCAGATGAGGAAAAGAAAGCAGACGGAGAAACCCCTACAGCCGAAGTATTGAAAGTGGGCGATGAAGAAAACAAACCCGCGGAGGAGGCTACGGCATCGGCAGAGTCTAAGGCAGCCGACGGCGATACAGTAACCGATGAAGCTCCAGAATCCGAAGCATCGAAAGCAACTGAAGAAGCACCAGCAGCTGAATCAAAAGCAGCTGAAGAAGCTGCTGTATCCGAAGAAACTAAGGCTAGCGAAGAAGACTCTGAGGCAGCTGAACCAAAAGCAGTTGCAGAAGTACCCGATGCTGAAGAATCGAAGGGAAATGAAGAATCACCTTCCGTCGAGGAAGCTCCAAAATCTGAAGAAGTATCGGCAGCTAAAGAAGAACCGGCAGCGGAAGTGGAACCCAAGCTAGCGGGGGAAGCGGCGCCATCTGCGGAATCAGAGACAGCTGATGAAGCCCCGGCAGTGGAAGAATCGAAAGTAACTGAAGAAGTCCCTGCAGCCGGAGATTCGAAAGCAGCCGAAGCACCCGCTGCTGAGGAAGAAACTAAACCTACCGAAGTAGCTGCGTCATCTGCAGAAGCAAAGGTATCTGATGAAGCCCCAACAGCCGACGAATCCAAAGCAGCCGAAGAAGCACCCTCAGTCGAAACAGCACCCTCAGTCGAAGCACCACCCTCAGTCGAAGCAACACCCTCAGTCGAAGAAGCACCAGCAGTCGAAGAAGCACCAACAGTTGAATCGACGACCGTTGAGGAAGCTGCGAAGTCCGAGGCAATCCAGCCAGCTGAGGAGAAAACCAAATTCATCCCTGCCGAAGTGCCTCGCACACCATGTCCTCAATGGTCATATCCTAGTTCTCCTCAGGAAGCTCCAACGGTCGAGGTGTCGAAAGTAGCCGGAGAAGTCCCTGGAGCCGAGCAAGCCGCAGCATCTGCAGAATCAAAGGCGACGGATCAACCACCAGCCACAGAAGAAAACAAGGTAGCTGAAGATGAAGCTACATCGGCCGAGGCAGTAGTGACACCTGCAGAATCCAACGCAGCCGTTGAAGCCACACCCGTCGAAGAAACTCAGGCTGCCGAGACAGCCCCGGTAACTGAGGAACAAATCAAACCAGCCGAGGAGGCTGACGTGTCAACGGAATCCAAGACAGTTGAAGAGACCGAGGCAGATCAAGGAGCTTTAGCAGCTGTGGAGGCTGTGGTATCCCAAGAAACCAAGGCCGCCGAGGAAGCTGCATCGTCCGAGGAAGCGGAAGCCAAGGTAGCTGGGGACGCTCCGGAAGCTGAAGGGACGAAGGCTACTGAAGAGGAAATCAAACCCGATGAGGAAGCTGTCGCAGCTGAAGAATCGAAGGCGAATGATGAAAACAAGACGGCTATTGAAGCTCCGGGACCCGACAAATCTGAGACTGGTGAGGAAGAGTCAAAGGCAGCTGATTCAACCGAGTCAAAAGAAGAAACCAAGGCTAGCGAGGAAGCATCAAAGACACCCGATGAAGCCCCAATAGCTGCGGAATCCACGGTTGCCGAGGAGGAAATTAAGCCAGTTGAAGATTCGAAGGCCACTGAAGAATCGATACCAAGTGTAGAGGCCCTAGCAATTGACGAAACGAAGAACGAGGCACCGACCTCAAAGGCTGAAGAAGACACCAAACCGGGCGAGGAAGCTGCAGCGGTTGACGAATCCAAGGAAGCTGAAGCACTGACTTCGGCAACTCAAGAAGTGCTGGCAGCTGACGTAAGTAAGGCGGGCGAGGACGAGTCGAAAACAGCTGATGAACCCAAGTCAATTGAGGAAACCAAGGTAGCCGAAGAAGCTAAGGCGGGCGAACACGGATCGAAGGCAACTGACGAAGCACTAACCCCAGTATCCGAAGAAACCCAGAGTATTGAGGAAGAAAATAAAGCTTCCAAGGAAGGAAATAATCCTGTTGAAGAATCCCCGGCAGCTGAAGAAACCACGGGATCTGAGAAGACCTCAAAGACCGAGGAAATCAAATTAGCTGAGGGAACTCCAGCAGCAGAACAGTCTAAGCCTGCTGAAGTCGAAACTGCGGCTGTTGAAGGCGAGACAGAGTCTGTTCCCGAAGAGACTAAAGCTGGTTCCGAAGAGCAAAGTATACCAATCGAGGCTGCTACTGCAGATGAGCCTACGGAAACCGAAAAATCAGCAGATATCAAGCCAGCTGAAGAAACCAAAGCAACCATTCCAGCCGAAGATAGCAAATCTACCGGGGGGGAACCGCTGGCAGCCGAAGAAACCAGACCTGTCATTGAAGACGTCGATTTTGTTGAAGAAAAGGAATCAAAGACTGGAGCAGACGAAACGAAATCGGCTGAAACGGTGGCAGAGGAGGGAGGGGAGACACAAGGACTTCCAGCTGTTGACGATCTAAAGCCAACCGAGGCAGCCCCAGTATCCACAGAAGATGAAGTTAAACCTTCTGACAAGCCAGATGCGGCGACAAGTATGGACGAATCAATAGCTTGCGCTGAATCTAAGCCAGAGGGCGAGGATAACGCCGATGAATCACCGTCAACGGAGAAAGCCGAAACAGCCGATAAGCCCACTGAAACTGAAGAAACTGAAGTCGGGGATAAGTCTACTCCTGATGAACCCGAGGGAGAAAGCCTAGCTTCCTCGTCCAAGGCGGCAGAAAATGAAGACCAGTCAGCTGAGGAATCAACAGAGACCTCAAGCGACAAAGACTCGGCGTCGGACTCGGCTAAGTCGGACGCTACGGCAGATACATTGGTCGTGGATACTGGCGACAAAACTGAGACTCATGAAGTAGGCTCGGATGAGGGCGAGGATGATAAGGCTGAAGACAAAGCTTCCAGAAGTACTGAAGAGTCAGCACAAAAGGAAGAGCTTCCTGAGTCGACCGCACTACCAGACGCGGCTACTGGAGATGAGGTAGAGAAGCCTGCCGAGGAAGATATGTCGGCTAAGAAGGAGAACCTGGCAGCTGATGACAAGCCCACTGATGAGGAGAAGCCAACTGAAGAGAAACCAACCGAGGACGACAAACCAGCTGAGGGCGACAAGCCTACCGATGAGGAGAAGTCGGTTGAAGGTGATAAATCGACCGAAAATGAGATGCCAGCTGAAAAGAAGTTAACTGAAGACGACAAGTCAGCTGAGGAGGAGAAGCCGGTTGAAAGTGAAAAACCAGCCGAAGACGACAAGCCAGTTGAAGATGATAAGCCAGTTGAAGATGATAAGCCAGTTGAAGATGATAAGCCAGTTGAAGATGATAAGCCAGTTGAAGGCGACAAGCCAGTTGAAGACGACAAGCCAGTTGAAGACGACAAGCCAGTTGAAGACGACAAGCCAGTTGAAGATGACAAGCCGGCTGACGGAGACAAGCCAACCGATGAAGAGAAGGCAGCTGAAGGCGACAAACCAGCCGAGGAGGATAAGCCGTTGGAAAACGAGAAATCAGCTGAAGATAAGGAAGCATCCGAGGATGAGAAATCGGCGGAAGAGGAGAAGCCTGCTGAAAGCGGTCAACCGGCTGAAAGTGATAAGCCGGCTGAGGAGAAGCCGGCTGAGGAGGAGAAGCCGATTGAGTCCGTTGAAGATGAGAAGCCTGTCGAAGAGGAGAAGCCTGTCGAAGAGGAGAAGCCTGTCGAAGAGGAGAAGCCTGTCGAAGAGGAGAAGCCTGTCGAAGAGGAGAAGCCTGTCGAAGAGGAGAAGCCTGNNNAAGAGGAGAAGCCTGTCGAAGAGGAGAAGCCTGTCGAAGAGGAGAAGCCTGTCGAAGAGGAGAAGCCTGCTGAGGAGGAGAAGGCAGTTGGGGAGGAGAAACTGACTGAGTCTGTTGAAGATAAGAAGCCTGCTGAAGAGGAGAAGGTTGCTGGGGACGAGAAGGCGGTTGAAGATAAAAAAGCTACTGAGG